AGAGAGAGAGAGAGAGAGAGAGAGAGAGAGAGAGAGAGAGAGAGAGAACTGAAGCAGTACCTGTTTTCAAGAAGCTTATATTCTGTTGGAAGGAGAGTACATGAACACAGATAAGTGAAACCAACATAATGAAAAATAACATGGAAGATAGGAGAATATTATTATCTTAGAATAAGGTGAGGACATCAGGAAAATTCTCAATCCTTATTATAGATAATGGATATGTGACCTTAGGCAAGTTACAAGATCATAGATTTAGACCTAAAAGGGGCCTCTAGGGTTTTATGGTTGTTGCTAATAACAACAAGAATAATAAAACAATAACTAGCCTTTAGGTAGTGCTTCAAGGTTTTCAACCTCCCTTGATCTTCACAACAACCCATTTGGTAAGAGCTCTTATTGTCTCAATTTTACAGATGAGCAAACCCAAAGCTGAGAATGATTAAATGATTTTCCCTGGGTCATGCAGCTAATAAGTGTCTGAGGCAGGATTTGAACTCAGGTGTACCTGACTCTACATCCCAGGCTTAATTCACGGTGCCACCTAACTGCCTTGCTATTTTATAAATGAGATGAAGAAATAAAAACAGGGAAGATAAATGATTCACCCAAAGTCACAGAAGTTAGCATAAGAATCCATGTAGAGTCAGATTCTCTGACTCTAGAGCCTGTTTTACTACACTATCCACTCTGAGACTCAATTTTCTACCTTTAAAATTGAGACAATAAAATCTATAGTGCCTGCCACTCAAAGTTATTGTAAAATTCAAATGTGATCATGTGTGGAGGTTGGCTTTCAAATGTTAAAAGCACCAAATAAATGATCTAGCATTTTTCAGTTAACACTTTACACACATGATCTCATCAGAAACTCAAAATAACTTTGCAAAGTAAGGTGTACTTGTATCACTGTGCCCATTTTACATAAGAGGAAACCAAGAATCAGAGAAGATATTGTCACTTTTTTGGTGTCCAGGGAAGAATTTAAGCCCATATCATCCCAATGCCAAGTCAAGCACATTATCCACTAACCCACAAATCATATTCTCTCATTACCTCCCCTTCCTGTTTCTTGGGAAGGATAATTTAGGGATAAATTTCTTATTGCAAGTGAATTCCACCTCTCAGATTGGGTCTAAGACAAAAGGGACTGATGGAAGACAGGATAAGGGAATACCTCCATCCACTTGGAGATGATATTCCATATTATTTTAGTCCCTGTATGGTGGAATTATGTTATGTGTTCTTTGAAGGCAGGAACTATTTTACTTTCTGATTTTATTCCCCCTAATCCTGGCACATAGTAGGCATTTAGTACATGCTTTTAAATTGAATTAGGGGCATGCACCAATCCTCTTCATAAGTGGGTCATATAATGGGTGGCATATAAATACATACCACATGTTTGTAGCACAAAATGCCCAAGTTGTCCTATTCCCTTAGGTGTCAAGGAGAGTAGAGTGGTGAGGCCTCTAACCAGGTTAGAACAGGATGGGACTAGATAATTACAAAGAAATAAGTTTGTATCCCATTGACTCCTCCTTTCTGTATTTTCCCCCTCCTCATATGTCAGAATCTCCCATCCTGCAAAGGTTATATACAACAAAGAGGAGAGTCAATTAGGTTCAAACTTATTTCTTTATAATTTTGCCCTGGGTTCACTGGTGTTTAAACTGATTTGCATTTAGAAAGAAGTGAAATTATGCAGTAATTAAAGACATAATTTTCTGCCAAAAAGATTCCACCCAAGGCTCAATGGGAAGATGTCCTAGACTTTCCCATGAAGAAGTTCCTTGTAGTCATTCAGCTTGTCAGGTGCCAATCTGCAACTTATCATCTTAGATGTTTGGGGCCACTGAACAGTTAATTTGCTATTGGTCATGTAACAGGTATGTGTCAGAGATAGGACTTGAGCCTAGGTCTTCCTTTCAAAATTATATCTCTATTCACTATGTCATGCTGCCTCTTTTTTTGGGGGGGGGGGGCAGAGCATGATAGTGCATACTCTAATGTTTATTTGGATGTGGAAAAGGAGTAGGTGGGGAGTGGAAACAGTGGAGTGGAAATGGTTTTGGGACTGATCTGTCTCCTACCAATCATCTCATTTGAATAATTCAAAGCTAATTATATCTCTCTACTAGTTGGTATATATGCCTTTTGAAGGAAAAAAAAAACACTTTACTTGAAAATATTTGGTTTAATATTGAGAACTAAATTCTTTCTTTCTTCATAAAACAGTTAAATGTTCTGTGTTTCTCTTCAGAAACATTCTGTACAGGCTGGATGAGAAGACCCACCAGTTTTCCATACTCCATGAAGCTTGGGAACATGAAAAGTTACATCTGTCAAATGAGACCCTTCAAGCAGCCCTGTCCAAGGTGCTGAACAGCATCAATTCAGCTCAGGTTTACTTAAAAGCGGGACTTGATGTGTTTGAGAGTGGCTTGTTGGGAAAGAACTGAGAAAATTCTCATCATTAAAAAAAAAAAAAGTTTGTTTACAATTCAACAAGCAAAATCTCTATTCTGACCAGGATTTCTGTGAGGTTGAAGGCTTTTTTTCAATAGGTTTTCAACTGTTGTCTAAATGTACTATTACGTGTTTGAAACTGTACATGAAAAAGAGCCTTTTGCACATTTAATATTTTTCATACATCTACATTTTGAAATGTGTAAGAGCAAGTTACAGGATTCACCCTTAAGATTTATCTTTTAGAAAGAAATCTGCTGTATTTTTATATATGTATTGAAAAAATACTATGTTTTGGCGAATGAGGCCCAAAAAGTTCTGGACAATCTTTGCTCCTGTGGATGAAACACATAGGAATGTTATTTATCTCCTATATGTAAGCACTATTAATGACCCAGTTTCTAAAATAGAAATGGAGAATTGATAAAGTTGCAGTTTAATTTCAATGGTAAGTGTTTTTTATGAAGAATTCAGCTGTTTTGACTGAGTGACCAGTTGACCAAAAACTCCTTTGAATGTTTCTGTTTGTGAAATGAAGTGCCTGATCTTAACACAACTAGATGTAGTAATACACTGGTTACAAAACTGTAGTTTTCAAATGTTACCAATCAAAGAGCCACAAACAGTCCAGGGAAACTCGAGGTATATCTGTACAGAACAATTTAAATGCAAATTTTCTCTACTAAGGTATGTAGTGACTAGCTTTGAACCTCCTCATTTGTCTCAGTTGAGTTTGTAAGAATGTAAGGAAAGGTACAAATTGCTGAGACAGAAGGACATATGGGGATCCTGGATGGAAGCACTGTAACCTTAGAACAGGGCTCCCTTAAAATGGACTGATCACTCCATGCTCTTCTTTTTTGTAGCTTTAGCAACCTTGTTGTGAGGCATTTTCTCCAAGAACAAGTCAGAAGCATATTTATAGAAATGAAAACCACAAAATATAAAAAAAAAACCATAAATATTTTAGAAAGAAGAAAGTTACTCTCTCCCTCACTGAAGAAAAGCAGATCTTTGAGAATGAACATGGTTGTTCTGACCCAGTGGAAATTTTATTAATGTTTAATGAAGAAAATCTTGGTAGTGGCTCCTCCAACCCCATCTGACCTCCTTAATGGTAGTGTTAGGTGCTGGTGATTCCAAACATGACTCTGGACAGGAGAATGTAATTTAGGGTACAGTGCTTCTGGTACTAGTTCAGTAAGGAAAATTGATTAGTTTTATAGTTGGGGTTTATCTTCCCTCTCACAGCCCCTCCCATCCTTTTAGAGCAACTTCCACTTTGAACTATTATAGGAAAAGCAATTTTATAGACTGAACTGGCTATAGATGAGCATAACATCTCTTAAATCTACTGTCCTCCATAATCCTTATCAGGTAACATTTTAAACCTCTACCATATTCTCTAAGTCCATTTGAAAATTGTATTTCTGGTATCAGATAAACTGATTCCATTTGAAAATCCTATTTTCAGTCTATTTCATGTCAATTTCTTATGCCTAATGAAACACCCTTGTTTCACATGTCACTTTATATCAGATATCCAAGTCTCAGATTTTCTAGTCTAGCATTTGGTTGAGGTCATGTTCTTGGAAGCCTATAGATTTTGATTTTCTAGTCTTCAGTTTGATTTTTCCATTATTTTTAGATTAAAAAAAACACTTCACCAGGAGATAAAGCTTAGTCTCAACCACAATCAAAAGTGTAAATAAAGGTTAATCAGTATCAATTGGTTGAATGATATGGATCAAGATGTCATTTTCATAAGCAGTCTTTATATCATAGAAAAAAACAAATTTCAACAAACATTTATTAAAAAGTCTACTATGTGCAAAGATACTTGAAATGCAGACAAAAATGGAATAGCCTGTCTTTAAGAAGTTTAGAATCTAGTGGGGAAATACAGAATTTGAGGCAATTAGCTGAATAATTCAGTCCTGAAAAGGCAATTGCAATGGGAATTATTCCAGTGGATCCACTTTATTTTAAGAATCACTTCCTCCCTGCAAAAGGTTTTCTAAAAGTGCTCCTTTTAAAATATTTGTTTCCATCATATTGGAGGAGTTTTCCATAGGGAAGACCTGGAGGCTTGCCAAGTCAGGTTCCCTCCTTATATTATCTTCAGTTTCTTCTCTTGTTCTTCCAAGATAAACATTACAGCACAAGGGGAGACACAAGCTCAGGACACCTGGGGCCAAACAGCATAGAACACTTTGGAAACACTCTCTTTGTGCAGGTATTTCTTAAATATTTAATTGGGTTTTAGGGCAAACCTTCCTAGGCTTTCTAGGCTCGTTTGTTTTGTTTTCATTTTGAAAATCTCTCCCGCTCTGGACTCATCTCTAAATAAATGTGTTATTCCTTTAAAGCATCTCCAGTAGAAAAACATCTGCTTTTTGAAAATAAGGGTCACCTACTCCTCCAAATCAAATAGGACATAGACAGAATAACCTAAAGATAACCTATATTATCCTTCAAAATTTTTATGGTGTTCAGTATTTGAATGTAGGCTATTAATTATGAATGAAGAGCATGATTTTTATTGGTCCATTTAAGAGAATTCATGAAGAAACTTAACTGTGATTAAGCCAGACGCCAAACTGTTATATGAAATCTACAATAGATCTTTCATTAAGTATAGCAAAACTGCAGCAGTGCTATTGCCACACCAGGCTCAGGGATCTACCAATTTGATTTTATTTGATCTTCTGTGTGTGTGTGTGTGTGTGTGTACATGTGTGTGTGCGTGTGTGTGTGCACGTGCATGTATGTGTATTCTACAGAAACAAAAGTACTAATAACTTGGACACATTAAGAAAATAACAGGAATTGAGTTTTCTCCATTGACTGGGAATGACTCTAATGGCTTCTCAAATATGGAGTTCTTCTCTTCCCCTTAGCTCTGATACAGGCTGGGCTCCAAGTACAACTCCACCAATTCAGGCAAACAAAGATATTACAAAATGACAGAGCTGTAAGATGATTTTCCCTAGGATTTTGTAAGGTAGGCTTCCCAAGTTTCTATAGTCATCAATTCTGGATCTACAATGAATTGCAATAGTCTCTGCTCCAATCCCCTTTCTTTTAAGTAAGATGTAATCCTATTTTTACGAATAGGACAACTGAGGCCAGAGAGATGGATTTGTTCAGTCATAAACTTAGTTGTGAAATCTAGAATTCAGATCACCTGCTTCTCATGCTACTCTACCTCCCAGAGGAGCAAAAGATATCCCTCTCATAGAGTTCTTTACCTTTGTGTATTCAGCCATTCCACAACTGTGGAACACAGCTGGGCTGCTGCTTCAGATGGTGGCAAGCTCTTTGTCTGTCTTTAGCCAGGCACTAACACAGCTACCTCCAGATAATTCAGATGAGGGCCATGTAAAAGATGTATGCTAAAAAAGGGCACATTACTACTGCCTTACCAACTGGGAAGGGAAAAATTGAGCTAAGAACTTTCATGTTAGAGCAAGTTGGCTCAATATTATCACAACCATCTAAATTACTTTTGCTTCACATCCTTATGCATGTATTATTTAGTGACTGGGGAAGAGAATTACACTGCTAGAATATCAAACAGCACTCAAGGCTTTGGGGCTGACATGTTCTCAGTGGCAACATGTTGTTTTGAAAAGAATAATGGGCGTAGTTAGTCAAGGACTATCTTTAGTCCAACCTTTCCGACATGGTCACTTCCTAAGGTGATTGAAAAGCAAAGAAAAGAGGCAGCTCCCATGTTCCTGGCACTTGATTAGTAACAGATAGATAATGAATTCTCAGCTTCATCCTACACACACACACACACACACACACACACACACACACACAGCAATTCACAGATGCAAATGCAAGCAAATAGTTCTTCCTCTAACAGCTCAGTGCCACAAATTTACAAAGAATAGGATGAATAAGATGAAATAAGCAGTCACAAAACATTCCCCACACAATGCTGATTGACCCTCAGACCCCTGAGTATGATGACCTTAAAGTTTCTAATGCAATCTCAGGAAAGAGGTTCCCAACCCTAGTTTGTAATGCCAATACTCACATGCTCCTGCAGATCTATATTCTCCTTCATCTGGGACTTCCTTTTAATGATGTAGATCACAACCCACCCATGCCTAGCCATCCTCTGCAGCTCTGGTTCATGCCTTCCCATTAGTTCACCACTGGCAGTCCACTCAATGTGCCAAAGGCTTTTGTCCTTTTGCAAAGATACCAAGGCAGGGTGGGGCAAGGACAAGAACAGTCCATCATTTATCACCTGTTCTTATTGTGTGACCAGTCTATCTTCTTTTTTGTTCATACATTTTTGATGGTATCTCTTATTCCAGTTCTCCATAGTTCCCTGTTTGTGATAACCCACATGTGCCTTTCCATTGTCCCTTGAATGATACTCATTTTCATTTCTCCAGAGTCCATAGTGTTCCGTGACTCTTAGAACTATGAAATGCATAGTTTTTGCAGCATTCTAGTTTTTCAGAGTCCTAGCACAAACATTTTTATCCCCTTTAATGTCTGAAATAGGTTTATGTCCATGTTGTTGTTGTTATTGTCGTTGTTGTTTAAGAAGGGAATCTTTTACACTGACCATTTAGTTGGAGGATAGGCCTGGAGGGCCAAAGAATGGATTTAACCCCATCACAATTGCTATTCAGAGCAGACTGTAACCAAACCAACAGTGACTGTGTTCAATTCATCTTCTTTAGCAAAAACCAATGAAGAAATTATTTGCAATAAAAAAGGTGTCTTCAAATAAGATCCTTTAGATCCAATCCAAAAATTTTTGCCTAAAATTCCATTTTACCTTGAGTTAATTACTTTAGAGATTAAAATTCTGCCCCATGGTACAATATTATATTCTGGATTGCCACAGCATAATTCTTATTCCTGAGCTTTGAGATCTACAATATCATCAAGGTGGGGTGAAATCATCCACCTCTGATCCATTGATGCATGCCAAAGGCCTTGCATTAATAGGCAGCCCTCATGAGTTGTGATTGAAAACAAAATTAGCATCTGGTGCCCAGCTCTCTGGAGAGAAGGAAGCACTGCCCTTACTTAGCTAGGTTGGGACTTAGATGACAGAAAGGTCAGAACTTGAAGCCCTACCAGTGTGGTAACGCCATCCAGAGCTTCTGTTCCAAGGGCATTATCTTTAAGAATGCAGGGTCACCTCCATGCCACCATTAGACACTGGACCAGGGTTTTATAGTAGGCATCAATATAAAAATATGGTCTATTTAAAAATGCTTCAATCACACTTTCAACTAATATGAAGAAATAGATTTAAAATCACTATCACTTGAAATACAGTAAAAGAGATAAAAACTTTACTTTGGCTATGATCTGAAATTATAGAATATCAGAGTTGAAAGGTACCTCAAAAATCATGCAAGTCCAATACATACCTGTAACCTGAAATTCCTTCTACAGCTTCTCTGATAAGTGTTTATTCATCCTTAGCTAGAATACTTTCTGGGATAGGGAATTCACTACCTACCAAGGGAGGTCATTCCATATTTAGGCAACTCTGATTTTTTTAGGAAGTTTAAGCAATCAGTCAAGCATGTATTTGCAGGCCTGGTGATCTTTCTGCTATAGATCACCTGGAAACAAAACAAAACAAAAAAGAAAAAAAAGACTGGATTTTAAGTCAGAAGACCTGCCTCTGTTGCTTACTACGTGAGACCTCACAAACTCACTTAATTTCTGTGTCCCTCGGTTTCATTTTCTGTAAAATAGAAAGTTGGACAGGAGCTCTCTTCAGTCCCATCTAACTCTAAATCTGTAATCTTATGATCCTGTGAACTTTGTTTCATCACATCATAGGCACATAGAGAAGGAAAACTGAAGCAACTAATGGGGAGAACAAACAGCTAGCCAGCTGTAAAAGTGAATCTGTGTTTATTGCAGTGATCGAAATTGCAAACTTTAGAAAAAGTTCATCAGAATCTAGTATTCTGAAGGCTCGGGAAACCTTCACAGAGTTCTAAGCACCCCATTAAGTACAAATGCATTTCAGTTGAGTATTTTGTGGTGTGTAATTGAGAATTTCAATTGGCATGAATTTGAATGAAAAATAGCAACAAAAGTACGGGAAAAGAAAAATCAAGGCTTTTTCAGGCATCCTTGGTCACCTTCAAGCACGCTCTTCCACTCTATGACTTTTCTTTTGCTTCCCTCCCCCCCTCCCCATGGTTTCTGTCATGCAGCAATAGGACTTACAATTTTATACATGCATATATAACATACTTATTTAAATATATGTGTGTGTGCATGCTATTCACACAGTATGTGTATGTGTATGCATACATATATGCATTTATTTTCCAGGAGGCAGTTTTGGCATTTATGCATCTTAATAATCAATTGATCTGGTATCCAGCCAAAATTCATTGTCCCTACTCTCATTCATACATGTCCATTCAATGAAAAATATGTTATGTTCCGTGTATTTTTTTAAACTGCTTTTTCTATCAGTCCCAACTCAATTTGCAAGTGCAGGGTTGCTTTACTGTAAATCCTCAGCCTCACTTATACTTCTCAAAAGAAGGAGTATTCATTCTCTTATTTGGATTGCAGAGTACAGCTGAATACTCTTAACCTAGTGGGTAATGGAATCAATTTAGGGGACGATTCAAGTCAGGAAAACTTCAGGTAATGCTTGGTGTCAAGTGCAATTTTTTTTTGAGGAGGGCTCAATTATCCAAATAAATATACTTACTGTAAGGAAGATCCATCATAACAATGAATCAGCCAATCAGCAGGCATTTAAGCTGGGAACACAAAGACAAAAATAAAATAATCCTGGCCCTCAAGGATCTTAGGTTCCATCATTCTGTTTACTACCAAATTAAGGATGGAGAAAGGTGAACTTTGTGTGTGACCAGGAGTAGCAACTCTGTAGGTACGTAATAGAAAGGGGCTGGTTTTATAAACAGAAGACCTGGCTCTTGCTGCTTGGGTGCCTTTGATGAAGTCCCTTCCCTTCCCTACACATTAGCTCCCTCATCTGTCAAATGAGACGGGGGAGACCAGATGACCTCTAAGATCCCTTTCACATCTAGTTAAGATTCCTCTGGAAAACAATGGAGTCAACGAGAGAGCTGTATTCACAAGTCTTACAGCATTCAGCCCAAGCCATGTGATGACTTAACCTAACAAACACTTAGAGGAGCCATTCTTCTAGGGTTGCAGAAACTTGTTTTGCTGGGGCTAATTAAGATACACCCTCTCAATCCCTGAGGATCATACGGGTCCCTATAGTAAGCCATATGTCATAGGCTACATTCCAGCAAGCTCAAGAGATTAATATCCAGACATTATTATGAATTATTCTGTTGCATTGAGTTAATGTGGCTCTTTTGTTCTAATTAAAGGACCAACTTGGCATCTGAATAGAAGCTTAGCCAGTACAGTTAAAGTCTTGTGTTAATGAACTACATATTTTTTTCAATTAAAATGCCTAATTAGTTTATTATCTAACAGGCTTAGTAAATAAGAATGCTCAGCTACTTCAAGAAGCCCCTTTCAATCCATCTTTATGCAGATAGCCAATAGTCCTGGTGTCTTTTTATTTTAATTTAAATCTTGGTTTCACTTGCTAGTGCTGTTTCTGTTATTTCCTATATATCTTCTAGATGAGCAAATCAGAATAAAGAGGTATTGGCTGAAGATCTCTCATGAGAAGAATGGCCTTTTTCAGTTTATGTCCAAAGATGTGGGATGTTTTTATCCCAAAGTTTTTTGAAGTTGTTGGGGAAAGAAGTGTGGTATAGTGGGGAAGGCATTGATCCTAGTCAGAGATGCCTTGGAATCAGATCTTGGCCTTGTCATTTATTACCCATGTGACCTTGAGCACATTATCACTTAATCCCTTGGGCACTCAATTTATTCACTTGTAAAATAATGATGTTAGACTTGGTGGACTTTATGATTCCTTCCAGTCCTACACCCGTGATCCTCTCTTTCTTGGGGAAGCTCGACACTAATGTGGTTAAAAGTAGTTCACCTACTCACCCCCAAAGAGATTATAAATCATTTTGCTTTAGAGGTCCCAGTAGATTTCTCTTCATTCAATGGATATTCATGTGTGATAGGCAAAGGTTTAATAATAGTTGTACCCAAAGCTCCAACCTTCGCCGGTGGGCTCTTACAGGGAATATGTGTGGACTTATTTTAAATAACAATGGAAAAATCCTCCATAATGTTTGCCTGTTTTTTAAAGGCAGCCTGGCAAACTGAAGGAAAACCAGCCAGTAAAGTGGATGATTATTTTGTGAGATGTTTATATGTAATTATGATTTAAACCTTTTGTTCATTATTTCAGTCATATATGCGAACCCAACCTTTAAAGTGATGCTTTAAACTTCTGATCATGAAAAAATACCCAGCAGTATGATAATATACAAAATAGTATGACAGTACACCAAAATAAGGGGGAAATCATGATAATATTAACCAAGGAAAATTCAAGCCCTATGCCTCTTTGTTCAGGTTAAATTTAGTTTCTTAAAAGCCTTCAAAGAGATGTCCATATCTTTTCTTTGTGTGTGAATTTCCTAGTGTTGAACCCTACTAAAAACAAGTGGACTAAAGGTTGAAAGTGGAGCATCATTTCACATTTATAGTTTTTCATTACAGTCATTATTGATTGTATCTAAAATGGGTGTGGACCCATAAAACCTGATAGCTAACTAGGTGCCTCTGACTATCTCATTAAAATTCAGGAGTTTATTTCTACCCTTCCATAATCTATTACTACTCACTGTTACAAACCTAAAGGGAAAAAAATATGATGAATGGAGCAGTGAGATGATTTGATGCTTTCCACTCCAAGCCGAGGTGAGATCAAGCAAAAAAAATTCTACTTTTTACATCCAGCTCCTATGACAACCTGCAACCTACCTGGAAAGGTACTTTGTAGTCTGGAATAGTAGAGAAAATGTGAGTAGGATGCGCATCCAGGTAGAAGATAGGAAATGAATATTTTACACTTCAATCACGTGATGATTTGCACACAAAGATAATAAATGAAGGCATCATATTTTCCTATACATTGGATGTTGATTCAGAAATGAATATATGTACAATGTAATGGTAAGGTTTAAAGTAAGCATTTTTTTAAAAAAAAATTAAATGGAGACAAAAATATTACTGGTGTGTTTGTTTTTTTCTCTGATATGACATGTCATCCTCTTATTCCATGCATAAGCTAAAATAGCAATTGGGGTTTAAGATGAACAGATTGTTCTTACTGAGGAAATGAGAATGTACTAATAATAAAAGTTAGCAATTCAGTGGTGTTTTAGAGTTTGCCAAACCCTTTATATCCATTGTCTCATTTGGCCCTCATAACAGCCTTGCAAGGTAGGTGCTACAGGTGTTATGATAGACATTTCACATATGAGGAAACCAAGGCTCAGAGAGTTTAAGTGATTTGGCCACAACTTATAAATGTTAGAAAAATTCAAACTGAGGTCTTCCTGAATCTGAGTCCAGAACTCAATTCACTATGCCCTTGTACAGTTCCATCATAATGAGATTAAAATGGAGGAAGAAGGAAAATAGAAAGAATGAACTCATTTCACCATTAAAATCTTCCTCAAATGCCTCTCTATGATCTGTAGATGACCTGGGGTGATAAAAGGTTTTGTCCATAAAGCACAAGTTCTAGATGGTTCTATCACTGTAGACTTTGAGTACCAAACCTGTGACATAGTATATTTCTGTTTTCTAAGGTCCAACCAGGTTCAGTTCAGAGGGGCTAATTGCCATGTTGGCCACAGGTGGCCCATTTAGGTGATTAAATGTTTTGACCACAGTGATTCTCAAAGAACAGCTATTAAGCTACAAAGGAATTGCTATTTACTTAGGTAGAAGGTTTGACTGCATGGAGGATTATAGGACCCTGGAGGATGAAAGAAGAAAAGATGGTTCATTGGGATTAAAGAAGCCATATCCTTGCTAACACTGTTGCTTTTTTCCTTCTTGTTATTTGTTATTTTTGGTATTTTTTTTTGCACAAGTGCGATCAGGATTTACCTTGCTAATGACTTCTAATAGTTATCAAAAATCTGTGCCCCTAGTTTCCATCTTTTTACTGGTTCCTTCAGTATCCAGTTGCCCTGAAGTGGGGAAATGGAGAAGAAAAGTTTTTTACTTTTACTTTTTCCACCCCTACCTGCTCCTAGCTTCCTTAAAAATAACACACAATGGGATGATTGTCAGATTTGGGGATGATTGTCAGATTTGGGGATGACACAAAGTGAAGAGGAATAGGTAGAATGTTGGGGGACAGAGTAAGCAACACACCTCAACAAGCTGTAATGTTAGATCAACCCTAGTAAGATAAATCATACTTATGATTTTTTAAAAAAAAAATCTATTTTAGAAATACAGAATAGCTTGGAACAGAATAACAGCAGTTTATCTGACAAAAGATCAGTAGGTTATAGAGGGCCTCAAAGTCACATCAGTTAGCAGTGTGATATAGTTGACAAAATGGCCACTTCATATTTGGATTGTGGTGAGAGTCAGAATGAAATCATGAGAGTATTGTGATTGGTTCTGGGTACTATGTTTTAAGAAAGATAATGATAAGCTGGACAGTATCCAGAGAAAGGCAAACAGACACCTGAAAGGTCTCTGGTTCATCATGTTAAAATCAGTTGAAGGAAGTAGGGATGTTTAACCTGGAAAAGAGAAAATAGCTAGCTAGTAAACTAGGTGTGTAGATAGATATGATAGATAGATAGATAGATAGATAGATAGATAGATAGACAGACAGACAGACAGACAGACAGACAGACAGACAGACAGACAGACAGACAGACAGACAGGCAGACATTAAACACTGTATGCCCAGCACCATGCTAGGTATTGGACCAATGAAAGAAAGAATTGTTGTTAATAAGGTAGATCAATTGGAGAATGGCTAAAAAAATTGTGGTATATGAGTGCAATAGAATATTTTATGCCATCAGAAGTGATGACAATGAATACAGAGAAGCAAGGTAAGATTTACAAGAGCTGATGCTCAGTGAAGTAAGCAGAGCCAAGAAAGCAATATACACAATGACTATAGCAATGTAAACATAAAGAACAACCACAAAATAATCAAAAGTGAATGTTGCAAAATTACAAAGAAAGAAGCATGGCCAGGAAGAAGAAAAATGAGAAGACATCCTAACCCAATTTCTTTGCAGAGCTGGGAGGTTCATGGTACACATTGCATACATTTTCTTGTTTTTCTGATGTATTGATCAGATGTATTTCTCTTTTTCCCTTTT